CCCCCCCCCCCCAATCTCTGCCCTTTTAGCTGCCCTGCACCCTGCCTTGCTGGGTGGTAAGCAGCCCCAGAACCACGCAGCTCAGGGGCTTCTTGGCCCTCCTTTCCCCTTCGTTCACTTGCACCAGTGCCCTCCTTCCCCCTTTGCTCACATGCACCAGTGCCTTCCTTCCCTCCACTTGCTTGCACACATTGCACCTTCCTTCCCTCACTGGCACACAACAGCACCCTTCTTCCCCCTTCATTCACTTGCATGCACCAGCATCCTCCTTCCCTCAATCACACCACACCCTCCTCTGCTCATTTGCATGCACTAGTGCCCTCCTTCCCCCTTTGCTCACTCGAAAACACTAGCACCCTCCTTCCCTGTTCGCTTGCACACACACACTACACCCTCCTTCACTTGCTCAAGGACTCTCCAGGGGTGCTTCTGGTGCTGAAGAAGTACTCCAAGGGCGCTTCCAGGCACTGAAGGACTCTCCAGGGGGTGCTTCTGGTGTGTGCTCTGCAGCTCACGGGAGCTGCTGGCTGTTTGTGAGGCTTTCTCCTCCCTCCTGCAAAGCCACAGCACAGCATGAAGGGGGCGCAGTCTGTGCAAGTGAGTGAAGGGAGAAGTAGGGAGCTGGTGCGTATGAGCGAGCAAATGAGGGAAGGAGGGGACTGGTGCATGCGAGTGAGAGAAGGGGGAAGGAGGGAGCAAATCTATCTCATGAAATCATGAAAGGTTTTATAGGAATCTGGGATACTTTTTCCATAGCAAACTAACAAAATAACACCCCCTGGGATGTCTTAGATTTGCAAAGCATTTTTAAAACTATGTCCCCTGCACATTTAAAACACAAATCCTGGGGATACAGATGGGAGTTCTAGGATACTCTTTCCTATTTTTTCATTGTTTTTATTTGTCCGGAAAGTCTTACCTTTCTGTTCCATTTCTGTGTCATCCTAATGATCTATTGGGAGGCCTTGTGTTCCTGATGTGCATGCACTGGGGAGGGGAGCTAGTGGCCTTTAGTCCCTTCTAAGTCTGCAGTTCCAGGTCTCATCTTTCTATCACAGGATTTGCCCCAACACCTTCATATCTGCATAAACAAATACTCTGTTTGATTAAATCGTATCAGCTATGTTTTCTTTGGAATACCAGCTTCTTCCAGAAACAGGAAAATCAACTTTTAACAATGAACAAATGTTGAATGTGAACACTCTGACCTCAGTAATTCTCTATCTGATTTATTTGAATTAGAGAATTTGGCTTTACTGGAGGAGTGAGGCAGGGATTGAGACTAATCCTTTTTACTAAATTCTAGGGCAAACAATGTCCAGAGGAGGAATGTGGCGTCTTTTGGCCTAAGAGTTATAGTGACAAAAGCACTGATGATTGCATGCCAGACAGTGAGAGGATGATAAGGCTTTGAGAGAACTTTGGTGAGAGGGAAAGGCCTCAATTCAGACTTCTGTGGGCTAGGCTTATCATGTTCTTATCCCATTAGGCTCTTAACAATCATGGCACTTGTACAAAAATGGTGGCTTTATGTTAATTTGTCCCAGTTTTGTTTTCTGTTTCAGAGAGCAGATCAAGAGAGTGAAGGACTCTGATGATGTGCCCATGGTGTTGGTGGGGAATAAGTGTGACCTTCCTGCCCGGACTGTGGAAACGCGGCAAGCCCAGGAGCTGGCTCGGAGCTATGGGATTCCATATATAGAGACATCAGCCAAAACTAGACAGGTATACTGAGGGGGGAGGAAGTGCAAACAGATTTGCTGCAGTCACTTTTTCCACTTTCACTCTTGAGGGAAGAATGCAGTCCATACTCGCAAGATGCAGTCTTCAAGGTTTCTATGGTGAAAATCAAGCTATCTTCTGGAGAGTTTGCTGAACTTTTCATTGTTACAAGCCCGAGGGGGCTTCTTGGCTCCCCTGCATTGCTTCTGCAATCAGTTGAAAATCTGATGAGTTGAATTGTTGGCTCTGGATTTGAATTGTGTGGTAATATATCGAAGAAACATCATTTACCAAAGCTTAGTTTAAATTCCTCCTTTGCTGACTGTTTCTTCTGATAGAAAAATGTCCACCCCCCCAACCAAGGAAATTACATACCTTTCTAATTGTGTAAACAGATGGCTGTTCAGCTTACCTTCTCTGTTTGTACGAGCCTATTGCGGTTGTCTGACTTACAGGGTTGGAGTTGGCCCATAACTCCATTGAGCCAATAATCTGCATTTACTGTTGGGTTACTAGGGCTCCATCTGCTAATTATGCAGCAGGTTGTGTAGTTTCAGCTAATGGTTCCTGAGCACTGGGGAACATAAGTGAAAATTACAACAAGCTTGGATTAAGAGTGATTTTGTTCCATTAAGATGATGCTGGGATAAAGCTGGCAGGTAGCCTGGTTTAGCAATTGTCCGCACTTGTATGGCAGTTACAAAGGCAAACGTTCAGCCAACAGTGGTGGTGGTAGTCTGTACTCTGCCGTTTGTCCAAACCGTTCTGTCCAAGTACAAGTATTTGCTACCAATTTAGGCAGTCAGCTGTGTGGGTCTGTGATTTGGATGCAAAACAGGGGCACTTGATAAACAGCGCACAGCACTGTGATGTCTGCCATTTCTGCCAGTTATTTCTACAACTTCTACCAGTTCATAGTTACATTGTTTTGGGGTGGGGGTGGGGAGGCGGGCTTTTATCTCTGAATTTCAAACACTATATTAGCTATAGTGATGCATTCAGAACTGACCAGCAGTGGAAACCACAAGTTTAACTACTCTTGAAAAAATGTCCTTTCCCTTTGCTTATAGACAAAAACACATTATGTTCCAATACTTTGTTGACTTGTTACAGGGAGTCGAAGATGCCTTCTATACTTTAGTGCGGGAGATCCGGCAGCACAAACTACGTAAATTGAATCCTCCAGATGAAAGTGGTCCAGGCTGCATGAACTGTAAATGTGTAATATCATGACCAAGGTAAGTCACTGAGAGAAAATGAGCAGCTTGGTCACAGAAAAGGCCACTCAGATTATATACCTAAAACAACTTTATAATTCCCAGTTGGTTACCTGCAGTTGATTCGTATAGCTCATGGATAGCTTGTATGTGACCCTTGAATTGTTGGAAGGAACAGCAAATCCCACAATCCCCTCAGCATGCAGTTAGAATTCATCTCTTTCCTTTGAGCCCGCACATTCCCATCCCTGGTTCCTCAACTTTATGAATCTGATCCCCTTCAAGAAGACAGAATGTGGCTTGTCAAATACTGACTGCAAACTGCCCACTTCCTCAAAGGAAGTGTATTTTTACTACAGTCCTTGAGGGAAAATATTTTGAACTAGAACACTGGCAAGAATGAGGAGGAATTGACCATTTTTTTCTTCATCAATGAGACTGATTTGAATCAAAGTGTCTGCATCTATATTTGGATCTCTTCTAAATTGGATACTCCATTTTATATGCCTCTTTTTTCTTGTTTTCATCCACTCCTGCATTCCGAGTTTCTGGCTGACTGATTTCTGTTGCCTTTCTTAGGTGTGGTTACCATTATTGTCTTCCTATATATATATATATAGTTCCAAGTTGTGAAAGGCCACTTTAGATAATACAATGTGTTTCTTGTTTGGATGCTACGTGAGGCACATCTGTCACTTTGAAAAGGCCAAGTTTGTCCTACATTTAGTACTAAGAGAACAAAATGTATGTGTTGGTGGTCAGGGTCTATTTGAGAGATTTTATAGGGGAGAATTAATGCTGGGCAGCACTCAGAATTCAGATATTTAAAATTCATGCTGTGAAGTAATATTGAGACCTGTGGTTGAAATACAAATAGAAAACATAATGGAATAATTTTTTTTCCCCAATGTATTTGCTGTTTAGTAGGAAACTAAGAGGAGAATAAAATGCTTTGGAAATACTTTGTACAAAGTTTACAGAATTAGAATTTAAGAAGAGCTCCTCAGTGCCAGGGCACTTTTTTCTTACTCAGGTGTCCAAAACAGTGGTGGGAAGGAACATGTAAAACAGGGTTCCTCAAACTTGGCAACTTTAAGACAGGTGGACTTCAACTCCCAGAATTCCCCAGCTAGCCTTGCTGGCTGGGGAATTCTGGAAATTGAAGTCCACCCGTCTTAAAGTTGCCAAGGTTGAGGACATATAAAATGGAGTATCCAATTTAGAAGAGATAGGTGGACTTCAACTCCCAGAATTCCCCAGCTAGCCTTGCTGGCTGGGGAATTCTGGAAATTGAAGTCCACCCGTCTTAAAGTTGCCAAGGTTGAGGAACCCTGATGTAAAAGACCTGCCATTATCTTCCATGCTAAACGTGGCTAAGAATTTTGAGTGTTATAGTCTTACACAACTACAAGATGCCAAGTTACTCTGGGAGGAGATATCATTGAACATTTTGGAACTTACTTGTGAGTAGGCATGCACAGGATGATGCTATCAGCATATAACCATTACTGCATAATACAGTATCATCGTCTGCATCTAAACCTCCTCGGCTGATCAGGAATAATTGAACAAGAAAAGGAGGTTCCTTTTGAAAGTATCAAAATGAGTCCGCACAGCATGATTACTTGTAATTGCTAATAGTGGAATATCTTTTTTGATCTATCTATTCTCCATCCAGGGGAAAAAAGGCCACATAAACCTTTGTCAATGGAGAGGCTCACTGTTCTCAGGGCAGCTAATCAGAAATGGAAGAGTGAAACCAGGCCCTAATGGAAAGAGGAGTCAAAGAGAAACTAAAATTAGGTCGCCCCAAAGTGGAGACCTGTTACTGGGTCATCTGTGGAATGCTCTGCATTGGTGCCTTGGGTGAATCTCTTCTCTGGCCATCGATGCAGCTTCCTCAATTTCTAAACATGACTATTCAGACTCATAGATTTTAAAGGAGTTTATAAACTATCCAATATAGTTTATTCTGCATACCCTAGAATTCCAGTGGAGAAAGGGTAGCAGATGAGCAGGAATCAGAGCTATGTCCTCCTTCTATGGTTACAGCACTTCATGTATTCCCTTATAAAAAAAAGAACACTTCCTTCCAAAAAATTACAATTGAGAAGTGAATGGGTGTAAAGTTACATCAGCTGAGATCTCCCAGCAGGCCCAGTTCTTTAACTGTACCTAGGGCAGCTGCTATTTTTAAAGGGTGTGTGTGTCCAGCTATTATTGTTAAAGGGTGTGTATGTGTCCAGATGTGCAAATAATCCAGATGTCTCAGTGTTTCCTGTAGCCTGTGATGTGAGATGGGTGGGTGGGGGTAACTTCCTGTGCTCTCACTGCTGAAACTGTATAGATTAATCCCAAATGCTTTTTAAAATGCTTGGCCT